TGGCTCTGTCATATTGCTCTCTTGCTTCTGTCTACTGGTTGGTTTTTGCATTGTTATTTCTGCTGAGGTCTCATGCTTTCCGGAACGTTCTCATACCCACTATCATGCTGTACATTCTCACACTCATTTGCAATGCGCATGTCGCCCATTCCCGTCTTTGTGTGCACTATTCCCATTTTACACCTTTCCCTTCTTATCACTTTGCGCCATGCTGCTCGTCTTTTCATAGATATCTATCTTTTCTGATGTGTGCTGTGCAGTAGACCATGGCACTCTTCCGTCATATAACCCTGTTTATCGTTAATTTGACTGTCCCTCCCGAGATAACCTCATCCCGGAACCGGTGATGGTGGCAAAACTCCTGAAGGCCCTTACCCGTTCCCGTTCCCGCCTCCTTCCCATTCCATCTTACAAAGCCTTGAACTCAATTTGATTTTTTCCTGCCATGACCTTTTCTGATGCTGTTATTCTCTCCATTGTAGGCGCCGTATCCGATGTGACCGAAGGAGGTATTTCCGCCACAGGGTGGGGTAGAAGTGAGGTGTGGGCATGACGTATGGGCGGGAGGGGAATCCCCGGTAACTTTTCGAGCTTATGTTTATGTTTATATTGTACTAGCGCCAGATATCGATTGTAATCCCGCTTGTCTCTCTATGTAGTTATGTTTGTGATGTAATATTGGACATATATATGTGATGTGGAGGGGATGTGGAGATTTATTTTTTGAGTTCTGCTAGTGCATGTCGAGGAGCTTGTCCAACCGGGATCATGATAAGCGATCTAATAATAACTGACATTCCCCATGGAGTACAATTATGTAAGTGAACTATACTTTGCAAGGACACGACAACCACACGATGTCGGACCTAGGCCTCATCATGAACAGAGTTCTGGTAAAGATATCTCATTGGCAGAGGAGAGCTGTCATAGGAAAGCCCAACTATCCAAGGACACTGAGTTCCACACACTAAGGATCAAATCCAGATTATTTCCAACCCGCGGTGCTCCGCCGAGATGTATGAACTCTACTAGTGGCTGTTTGGCGGAAGTGACCGGGGCAATGGCGGTACATAGTACTGCCCAACACACCTAGAAACAGCACGTAATACATCAATCAATGTCAACTCGAACCTGGGTATGATAGCCGGAAGATCATCAGCTCGTACAGCAGGTTAGTCATATAGTTTGGGCTAGTACTACTAGTCTACATAGAGCAACAATGCATAGCCTTTTGCTGTCGCCAATCTCGATCCGATGATATAGGCACTTCGATAAAGGCCGCATAACTGGACTTGGGGGCTTGCTGCCGCATCTCTCGAGTTCAACTCAACATTAAACCGTTGCACCCAGGTACAGACTGTATGAGTGTGCGTGGATGGATTCAGTTGTAGTGAACAAGAAATTTGAGGTGTTTAGCAGTGGCATGCTGGAGGGTGCGATAAGTCTAGTTTAGTTATAAGTAACTTCTTATCGATCAAGCTTCCTGGCATGGCCCCCGGACCTCCTGGTTCCTTCAAACCAGCTGTGCTTTTGTCCCCGGATGGGTAGATTCTCATCCAAACTTTGCGCTAGGAACGACTCTATTGGGTTTGTCTATAGGATGCCAATAGGAGACAGGCCTCGCAAAAAGGGCTCTTTGTGAAAAAGATTTTTTAATAACCCCAGGCTTGGCACCTCTCAATCCTCTCCCTACTGGAATGAATGGTCGGGCCATAGCATTCCTGCCTCGTGTCAGTGAGTCTCGTTATTATCACACCAGGTGCGCCTCAAATGTTGGCCGCCTGCATCCAAGGACCATATAAGCAGCATGAATCTCCACAGTTTGCACGCGACAAGTTGCTCCAGTTATCATCAACTGTAGAACTATCTCAGACCAATTTAATTGTGGATCTCTCAGGAAAGACGTACACGACACTCACCAACGCCGATACCAGCTAAATTTATTGTCCAGTCGAGGATCCTTAATTCTACCAATGGACGGGGAAGCTTTCGGAATATGGTTGTTCGGTAATTCCCTCGATAGTGGGTGGTGCACATGAAAATTTTCCAGAGCCCGACTTAGATCGTGTTACACAATGAGTAAATGTGTTTTGCTATGTAGAATGAGAAAGGTCATTGGATACAGCTGATGCTGCGCCATGTATTTGTCCCCGTCGAATGCCTTGATGGTTGGAAATGCTAGGAAGCAATGTCTGCTTCAGCGCCATCCCATGGTGTGAACATATAACTCACTATGCACTATGGCCAATTGGAAATGAACATGTTAGATGCAGAACAAACTTTGGGCGAAGCTGCTGCGCCCCGTATTTGTGCGGAGCCCGTGCTGTCATTGCTGTGAATGTATCTGAGTCACTGGCCAATGGAAGCGGAATGTCCGAGAAATATTAGGTGGCCACGCGGTATGCAGAGACTAGTACTGTGAGATTCAAAGTTTAAATGGATATGGGAGATGGGAGATGTACATGCGAGAGAGTTAGCGGGTTGGAAGTTGGTAAGTGAGATCTTTGCATGTTTGTCTCGGTGAGAGTGAACGCTGAAATTTCGCTGAAATGTGATTGGCTGGAAAAAGCTTGCTGAAATTGGCTAGCTTACAAAAGCAATCACAAGCTAGGCTAACCCATAAGGGAAGGTGTATATGGCAAAAGACAAATCACATCAGGCGTGTAAACGGAGAGTAGTATTGTACCTGAAACACTGTAAAGTCAGCACGCTCATTGTGATTGTGCTTGTGATATGAAAGATATGGAACCAGATATCACGAGCCGGTTGACCAGTCCCGGGCGCTGCAGAAAAATACGGATTACGTTTTGGATGCGTCTAGAATCGTTTGACATTACAGTGGCGACGAACCTGACAAAAATCTCGCACGGATCTGGAGGTTTTCGCTACATCCGTCGGGGACATAATTTACCTTTTCTGACATGTCGGTTGCTGTCTTTAGATAATCATGTATCACGTCGCACGCAGCACCAGGAGACTTCATGTCGCTACCACACAGTGGCATAATCGCGTTGACATCGCGCAACCATGTTGTTTGGAGATCCTACTAGGCCGTTTGTGACATCAAAGTCATCTTGCAATACATACTTACTAGGCTCCAGGCTCCGCTCACTTCCGAATCAACTGTCAACTAGGCGGCCGGAAAGAAAGTTGAAGTTTGGCTCATTGGGCGCCAGTGCTGGTAAGCCTCAGGCGGCTATCAATTTCAAGCCTTTCCACTCACTTCCAAGGGCAACTGACTCGGAAGCCCAACATCGGACTCGATCACTGGGCTAGTGCTCGGAGCCTGAGCCCACGTTGGATAGCTTCAACGACTTTAAGTTGGGATCTCGACACTTGTGCGGGCAGTTGAACTCTCGGTGTCCAATTGAAGTTCCCAGTCTATGGCGGCTCGTTCAACCAGTAGCCTGAGCCTCCGAGTCCGAGTCGCGTTTATTACTATCGCATTCTGCCTACTACTAGTCATCACTCCGAGTCTCAATTCGGATCTCACTGTTCAAGCTGGCACATTCGACTTACAACTACGAGTACCGTCTATTATCAGCACCATCAACTTACAACCCAAGCCATACTCAGGCTGGTCTGAGTCACTGCCAGACTCCCCCTCGATATTTCCAGTGACTTCGGGCATTATGCCTCTTCGGCGCCACACCCGATTGAACGTTGGACTTGGCGTCGCCCTGACCTACACACAAACATATTTATAAAAGACGTGGACGAAAGTAATGGACACACGCCGCATGGCAGCCCCACGAGCACACTTAAGTGCTGCTTCTAGGCTCCACACATAAAATTTTGTATCCAGTCCGGGGATAGTACTGGCAAAGTGTTGTCCATCAGAGGACATGGCAACAACCAAGACCTGGTCGTCGTGCCTGAGTCGGACTCCGACTTGCCGGTAAGTTTTGAGGTCCCAGATGCGAACTGAATAGTCATTTAATGCGTTAAGATAGCGTTCACCAGGAGACAGACAAAGGGATATGACGGATTCGGTATGACCCTGAATAATGAGTTCTTCCCGTCAATCGATTGCCATTTTTGGATGGTGGAGTCAGAGATATATGCGTCATCCTTGGACTAACATAACGATAACGTCCAGTTGTCATGTCCCTTGATCTTAAGGAGCAGCTCGCTGTCCTTTGACCACATGCAGATCATAGTGCCCTGACCGCCACTGGCGCACTTATCGCATTGCGGAGAACATTTGATTATTTTCACCCATTCTTTGCCTCTTCTTATGGGTGGTAGCCAGCGGTCGCGTTCCACCGTCGTATAGTGCTGTCTTTTAATTCACTTGCTGCCTCCTTGCCCTTTGGTGACCAATCGAAGCACTCTACTCCATGACTATTCCCCTCCCACGACCTACTAAGCTCCCCTCCTTTATGTCCCACTGCAGCCGTACGGTCAGCACGTACAGCGAATCAACAAAATGCTATATTCCCCGTGCTCTAACACGATCGACAAAGACCCGGAACGAATCGACGTCGTTGTACGACGAATTTATTGCCACTCCGGAAATTGGGGATATCTGTGTCGATGTCTTTACATTCGGTGCCAACACTGCTTCTGCTGAAGACGGAATCTATCTATTAGATACACGAACGACCATTGGCCCTATCGTAGATGATGAAAGAAATCCTGCGCACTCCCTTCTAACGATGTATTGTGACCTCTTTTGTTTTCGTCTTTTTGCTCGTTATCTATCAAAATCACAATTCAAGGGCACATCTTCAATACTTGTCATATGTGAAGCCACGTGTGACGTTGGATTATTCGATGATCAAAACGAAGGTCACCTTGCACTCCGAGAAGCCGTGGATTCCCTTCGCACACCAGCTCAATTACGAATTATGTTCTCACAGATCGTACTTGAAGGTTATGCAACTAGTATGTCACTGTGGATAGAATTTTGGGAGATGCTATCCATTGACCACATTCAGGGGCTCGGACACGAAACCAATGGTCATGAATTCTCGCTGCAAATCATCGATGATCTGCTCTCTCATTCTGCAAGACACCTTCGAAGTCTACAATGAACAAAGTTACCTGCGCGACAACCAAGCTGCATTTGAAGTTCAAAGCGATAACATGGGTCAACGACTGAAGGCTGAACAATAGCATGTTCTCGACTGCATTGTAGAGAGAGCGTGGTCCAGCACAGAGACAACTTCTTTTTCGTCGAGGGACGTCCAGGTAGGTCGAGGGTGAGAACGCGAAGAGACACTGTGTCTATTTGCGGAGACAAATGAAGGATTGTCCAAGACTGTACAAATATTGTATTTCGTGACCTACCACTGTAAACACGATTGATTGGAAAAAAAGACGACCGAAGGCGTGTCTTTGTTATATGTCAAAAACCAGGCAATAATAAGTCACGATTGGTAAATGGAGAGGAGAATCGTACGTGCCTCGATAACTCAAGAAAGAATAACGAGCGGGTGATCAAAAAAAATACGCGGGATCTGGAGGAAAAATAATGGGTGACTATCCATAGGCCTGAATAATGCGGTTTGGAATAGAATATAATAAAAAATACCATTTAAGGAAACCCTGCCGCGATGCCGCTGTTCATTTAGGACGACTTTCCCGCACATTATTTTCTTCACCCTCTTACAAACTCTAAATCTGTAGGGGGGCCCCCCTTACAGATTATAACTGACGGATTATTCCGTTTTGGGCCCTTGCTATCTGCTTACTCATCGCTTAGTAATCTACATCTGAGGTCCCCATCTCGCGCATCTCCTCCATAGCGATAGTTGTTGCCTCGTTCCACCATCTTGCAATATACAGGAACCACTACGGCCCAATTCTTAAGCTCCCTTGTGAAGTTTTACATTGAAGTTTTAAGATGAATGAACCACGGTGTCCATCACGTGATTATTAAAAGTTCCACACCGCATATAACTTGCCCTGGATGTGGCCGTGCACGACTTATTTTATTCAAAGTGCGTTACGGTTTGGTTTTCTGTATGGATTATCTTGGGCAGATATGTTTCAAGGTCCGTCATAATCTATTCTACATTATTTGGCCTACGGATAGTCACCCAATATGAGACGGGTGTGTAGTAAGGATTGAACATCCTCTTTAGGCGCTCAAAGCTGTCCACGTGACTCGCCGCACTCTTCGTATCCGAGCTATGGAAAAATTGGTCATGGGAAGGGGAGGCTCGCCGCAGGCGAGCCGAGGAGCTTGGAAGGGGTCGGCGCTCGGAAGTCGGAAAACCATCCCAGGGGGAGGACTCTGGAGTACCGAAACCTCGCTACTTTGTCCATTGGCTTTCGGCCCAATGATTTTATATACAGGTAAAGACGATCTCCCAATGATACAGCTTATGTTTGACGTCAGATTCAGACGGCAGCGTTCGATATTCCCGGCACAATTGACATTGAACGCCCACCCACGCGCAAACATTGATATTACTACACGGTTCCCAATGGAATTCATAACGGTTCGTGTTCCTTGACTCAGACCCTAGCTAGTGTGACCTAATTTAACCCTTTAGCCCGTCTAATTTTAACGGTGAGAACACGCTTCTTCCTGCAGGTTGGTTACACCCTGGATTATATATATTTCTCTCTAACATCGCGGTAAGGCTACTACACCATTCTTGCGCCGGATACCAACATTATTTTATCTTCCTTAGGCCCGTTGTCCACTACCAGCTCTGGTGGGCTACTTTGTGCTGCTCGCACTGCATCACTGCCAATGCCACCCTTGAACATCGAGGTGGGTTTTACTACTATTCTTATGCTGGATACCAACATTATTTTATCTTCCTTAGGACCGTCTTCCTACTCCCATTCACCTCACACGTCCGCTCGCACTCAGCTTCACCACTCTCGCGCTGGATACCAACATTATCTTATCTTCCTTACTCCTCACCACTCTCGCGCTGGATACCAACATTATCTTATCTTCCTTACTCACCACTCTCGCGCTGGATACCAACATCATCTTATCTTCCTTACTCCTCGCGCTGGATACCAACATTATTTTACCTTCCTTACCTCTCACGCTGGACACCAACATCATCTTATCTTCCTTACTACAATATGGTGCGTCATTATTTCACTCGTCCTCTTCTTTGACATCCTTGTCCTTGTTCTTTTTCTCATTCTTGTCCTCAGTCTTGTCCTCGCCGTCTTCTTTTTTCTCCTCATCTTCCTCTTCCTCATCTTCTTCGTCCTCTCCATCCTCACCATCACTGTCCGGCATCACCTGCCTGTTGATTTTGACACAGCGCACTTCACAGCAGCAACCCGCATGGCCTTCGCAATATCTTCCGCCTGCTTGAAGGTGCTCGAGTGTTTGTACACGTCTTGTATCATGCTTGGCTGGAAGCCTGAGCGGTTTGCAAGTCTCTCCACCTTCGCTTCAAAGCCGAACTGCGTGAACTGCGCAATATCTGCAGTGTGGATTTGAGGGTCTATGTGAGGGACCCTGGCATTGGCCTCTGGGCTGCCGTTGGTGGTGACGGCTCTCTCGTTATTTTCAATTTTGTTTGTCTGGCCATTGCAGGTGCCCATTTCCCCAAAAGCAGACTTGAGGGTGTGCAAGTGTGGTGTCATTGAGTATATTACTGTGTACTGTAGCTTTCATTAGCCTGAATTTGCTTCCCTGAATGAATATGGCTAGGAAATTTGAATGTTCTCAACCCACCAATCGGAAATAAAACCAACGGCGACTTGGTGTGGCAGTTAAACCAAATATTGAATAATGTTAGCGTGGTGGTAATGGTAGTTCAAAGTAAAACAGTCCCGACCCCTAAAACACATTTTTGTTCCCATTTCCCGCCACCCGAGTACACACACTGACTTCACCATCATACATGTCTGTCTTCGAACCGAAGACAGTCCTCACTCTTCTCAAGACTTCGACTGCTGTCTCCCCTCTCGAGAAAAACACCTTTGAAAAAAAATGGAGGGTTAGCGTGAGTGTCTCGGCAGCTTGAAGCACACTCGTTACACACAATTTAATGCCTTTACTGACCAAAAAAAAGGTAGAGAAACGAGTCAGTACATGGAACGAGGCACGCAGCCATATGAACAACCCACGTCCGCAGTTCCAGCTACAGTGGGAGTCCGAGATCGTTGAGTATGTCCAGTTCCTGTGGGAGAAGACACGAACACGGTCAAAGAAAGGCGAGCCCAGCAAGCTAGGAGTGAACGTCCCGTTGCTCGGGCCACGGTTTTTACCTCCGTCTTACCTGCATGTCCAGAAGCGCTCTGGAGGTGGAGCCATCGAGCCGACAATGCAATACCTCAAACCGCTCAACATCGTGCATCCGTTCTACTACCCACAGCTTGGACAATGTCCAAGATGTGGGTCCGACAAGGATACGGCTTGGGAAGGCTGGACGAGTAAAGGAGCTCGAGAGCTCCATGGGCTGTTCTGTGAAGAAGCAGCTCTGGGCACACAGCTCAGATGCAACCGCTGCAAGGAATCGTCGAAGGCGAAGACCAGAGGGGACACTGCCAGTGGTATGGTGGCTGGCATTGAGGGATACTGCTTCGCAACGACGAGTGCGATGTACTGGAAAGGCTGGGAGCATTGGAGAATCCCACATGAGTCCCGCGCACAGCAGGTCGTCAGTGATCTGACGTATTCGACTGCGGCAGGTGGCTTACCTATATTTTTCTACCGCTGCGCATTGACACGCGACCTCTTTGACCTCCTCATCGAGTTATGGCCATCGTCGACCTCTGCAGGTCTCGAAGAATGTGTTAGGCGTGAGTACTGAGGTCCATTGTGATGGCCACATACCTGACTTAATACACTCACGCAGAACTCCATCTCTTCAAGCACAAGCGCAGGATGTTGGAGTACCTTGAGGCTGTCAGAGCTCGCGAATGCCAGAACGACTCGAAGAACTCACTCGGAAACTACTTCAACAGTGGTGTGACTTCGGGAACGTGCCTTCAAGCGTTTTCGGCACCCGATGACACACTTGGCTACAGCGACAAATCAGTCTCTCGCGATACGATAACCGAGGTATTCATTGAATTTTCGACTCACACAAGGCAGATCGAGAGTGCGAACTACTTGAAGTCGCTATCAGGTAAGTCCAGCACTCGGATATTCTCTCACACAGCACTAAGTAGTGTTTGTCAGCAATATGTGCTTCTCTGGACAACACATTCAAAGCCACGAACAAGGCGACACTTACCAACAAGGACGGCCAGAAGACGAAGGAAATCAAGGGCGGTATTCTCACTGTCTTGAACGAGGGCAATGAGATTATTTCCTGGGTAAGTACTGAGTCACTTTGACACATGGTACCCACACTGATCTGAATTTCTCACCAGAGGTTCTGTCAGATGCGCACTAACGCAGAGATCGCAGAGCTCCTGCTAGGCCTCAAGCATCGCCATGACGTCCTTGGTCTCCCACAGCCGAAAATGATGGTCGCCGACAACTGCTGTCACATTCGTGGCGCAGTGGCATCCGCCATGCCTGAGACAGAAGCGAAGCTGGACGTGTGGCATTTCAGTGCCAGGTAAGTAACTTCAGCATGAGGAGCCATTACTCTGGCTAACGGGAACCTCACCCACAAAGATATGTTGCTGCAATACTGAACGCAAGCAAGAGTCCATTTCGCAGTGCTATTGCTGCCGATATCTCAGGTGCAATCCTCAAGATGCACGCAGAACATGGACGTCCAGCAGAATACTGGGATCGCAGAGAACAAGAGCAGCGCCTTCTTGCAGCTTTTGAAAAGTGGGCCGAGAAAGGTGTGTGGTCAGCAGCGGCTCAGAAGGTAAGTCTGTCTGCTTCATCATGAGCAAAAATTGAGTCTCACACCATCTTTTTTTGCTAGGTACATCAAGAACAACTCAAACATGTCCGAAAAGGGTGTCTCGAGCGCTCGGATCAACACCTCAGGTCTGACGGCAGCCGTGTTGAAGGCACGCACAAAGGCTGGAACTCATTGCAGCGCGCCCAACCAAGTGGGATTGTGATGCTGACTGCACTCGGTCACGACTTCGTCCTCCGTTGCAACATTCGGGTCGCCTTCAGTAGGCGTCAAATGACGCCCTTTGTCGAATTCACCCATGGCTCCCACCACATCCAACTATCTAACCACGTCGCAAAACTCTACAACAGACTGCGCGAGAAGGGCACACAGCTGCTTCCTCTCCTACCAGAACTCCCAGATGTCGACTCTGGCGAGACTTTTGGACTGGTTGCATCGGACAATGCAACCACATTTGGTGGGTTGCTCATCAAGGAAGAGACTCTGGACGCCGAACTCGCGCACAACTTCGAGGTTCACACTGATAGCTTTACTGGCGGGACTGTAGACTTTGCGACTGAAGCCAGCCGCAGCATCATGATTGAGGACTGGCAGATTGATCCCGCACTCCTTGATCAGCCTGCTGCACAGCTGCCGCGCACTATGGTGAGTGGGGCATCACCCATTTTTTCGTTGTTTACTGACAAACTTTTCTAGACGGCTTCTAACACTAACACTCTCCCTGCCGAAGTTGCACCTCCCTCCCTCATCAAACGCAAGGCCATTTGCATCTCGCCCAACTCCGACGACAAGTCAAATGGCGGGTCCGCCACTACAAAACGACCTCGGACTCTGGGTCCAGCCAGCACCAAGACACTTGATGGCTACTTTGCCTCAGGCCGTCTTCTGACATGGCATGGAGAGCCTCCCAGTACTGCCGCAGGAGAGGTATGTTTGTTCTCACCCCCAACCAACGCTACACCCGAAAACTGACGTCCTGGATTCTCGCAGGTCGCCAGTCCGTTCTCGCCCCCGACCAACGATACACACCCAAAGGTACGTCCGTTCTCGCCCCTGACCAACGATACACCCGAAAACTGATGTCCTCCACCCCCGACCAACGCTACACCCGAAAACTGGACGTCCTCGCCCCCAACCAACGATACACCCAAAAACTGGATGTCCTCCCTCACCCCTGACCAACGATACACCCAAAAACTTCCTCCCTCACCCCCAACCAACAATACACCCGAAAACTGCCTCCCTCACCCCTGACCAACGATACACCCAAAAACTTCCTCCCTCACCCCTGACCAATGATACACCCAAAAACTTCCTCCCTCACCCCCAACCAACGATACACTGCAGGCTGCCAGTGCTCAGGCTGGCAACAACAACCCGCCAATCACCCCCAACCAACGATACACGGGCATCAACGAGGCAGGCCAGACCCGGTCCCAGTGCCTGTTCTCCATCGCAACGGGTATCGATCCTCGCTCACTCACCTTCCAAAATTCGGACGAGTTCTACCTGTTTATGAACATGCGAGCCGAGTTCAAGTGGCTGTCATACCAAATGACTTCGAAGCGCTGGGTGCTGGCAACGGAGGAGTACAATCACCGTCTCGTCGAGAAAATGGGCCAGTCCATCATCCAGAAGAACCCACAGGCCCTCCTGCGCGCACTGGGTGATATTGAGCCCAAACTGATGAACCGCATCATCAAAGACGAGTATACCTGTGAGTCACTCAGTTTTTGCGTTCACTCTGTGTTTTTCTGACATCTATATCACAGCAAAGAGGAACAACGAGACATTCTGGCGCCATCATTGTTCTGTTGTGCCCCTCGTCAAGGAAGAGCGAGGGAAAAAGGTCAGTCCCCAGTCCAAGCCCTTGCTCACTGTTCACAATGCTGAACTTGCTTTTTTTTTAGCCTCGAAAGGCGCAGACGTGCTCGCGCTGCCAAACCATCATGTACCCTGGCCCCGAAAACTCGCCACTCAACCACAAGCGGGGCTACTGCGCTGACGGTGTCAAGCAGGTGTCGAAGAGCGGCGAAGACCTCCCTCCCTGGCCTCAGCCTCAAGGGCTGTTCTCCGAAGGTCGCACATTTCACCCACACGCGTTTTTGTTGGCTGTTCAGCGCGTCTTCATGCAGGGACCGGGAGAGATGGACTTGCTTGAAACGGAGGCCTTCGCGAAGCTGCTTGCATCGCGCACTGAGATCCGCGAGGATGGCGCAGTGCTTTTCCAACTGTTCACCAACTTTGTCGTTGACCCATCCACCCCCCGCGAGCGCATCGTCACCCACAACGACAAGCAGTGGCTCAGGATTAATTTCCTCCAGCAGCAGCAGCTGTAGAAGTCGAGATATAATTTTTCCCCCTGCTATATGATAGTTTACTACAGTCCCAGTCTTTCCCCCTCGTCTTCCAACTAATGTTTTTCCGAGTTTTGGGACCCGTTCTAAGGTCTATGAGGGCTGGGGGTAGGTATGTTCTCATTTCATTCACTCATTGCTCGTCGTCCCCGCCGTCGCGTCGCCGTTTGCCTTTGTCGCCTAGGGCAAAATTGAACCGGTCACGTGACGTCGAAACTCACGTGCTTTCGAAAAGGTCTGAACGGTCCTGCGGTGTTTGAAAAACGGTCAGACCGTTTGTAAGCCTCCCCTTCCCATGGCGCAGCTGCCAAGACGAGGGTTCAATACTCTAGTAAGCACGTGACAGCTCGGCAACATCCGCCGTATGTCTACCGTGGTCCGTCAGCGCTGTGCCCGACGACGAGCTCACTCATCTCTCAACCGTTTGACGACCCGTTTTTCCAATCAGTATATTACAGCCAACAGAAGCAACAAAAGACACTTAAACAATGGATACACCATTATGCATGCCCTGCTCTTCTTCAGCCTTGCAGCCTTCACGTTAGTGCGTCTTTGTATTACATAGTTTAGCGAACCTTATGTCATTGTTTGGCTGTCTTAGTGGTGTGGACCGGTCTATCACCTCAGAGTTGTGTGGGAACACCTGATCCATTTGTAAGTTCTGACATCTACACTTAGACTCGTGATCAGTCTGACGTACGGTCGATCCTCCTTCAAGCTCGAGCCATGCTGATCCAGGCTGTTGCCCGCCGTTTGCAGTGAGTGAGTCGGTCGATCCTCGTTCAAGGTGATGCTGATTCAAGTCGCTGCCCAGCGTGCAAATCCCTAAGTTGCATTCGACCATCGAGCAGCGCCGAGTCAGAAGTACTGCTGAGGCCGATTCCAGGAGGTTTTTCCTGATGTGGCCGACCGGGTGCAAGGCCAGCGTTTCCTTGTAAAGCCTGATCTGCTTGAAGTGATGTTTATAGTATAATCGTATCCGCAATACTGCCGAGTTGCTATAAACGAAAAACATTGTATGGTAAGGAAGGGGTCGAAAAAGTCGTACGCTGGAACGGGCAGGACTGCGAGGGGAACCAAGGCCAGACCTCTATAGCGGGAGGCTACTATCGAGGACAGACTACGACACGCGTGAGGACTACCGACTACGAGCCAGGACTCCTGCCACTGCGCCCGGACCTCACTGTGGGATGCCCCGCTCGATAAGAGAGAAACGAGGCAAGTGAGAATCTTTCGAAGTGAAGTCTTAAGAGGAGTGCACGGGCCACAGTGCTTCACTAAGGAAGAAGCACTGCGAGGGTGGATCTTCATGCACATGTGGCAGCTCTTCGAAGGCCTACTAGCTTCACGCGTCAACGGCAAGCTCGCGATCCGGAGCGGCCATTATTGTTTGTTCAGCGCCAACTGCGCCACAAATAGAAGCAAAGTCTGATCTGCACATGTAATCTCTAACTCAGCGCAAGTCAATGCACATGATGCGATGCCATCCCGTACGTACTTGCATCCCCATCATATAATAATGGTTTCAACAAATATCTTCCCTTCTTTTTGAACTTAAGCTGCCGTTTGACTGGCAGGGTCGATTCTGCACCACCCAAGCTGATGCCTCCTGTGTCCGCAAACTTTCTATTACATACCGCTATCATCAGCAGCCAGGTTATTATCTTGGCATGTGGATACGGTTTTGTTGGCGCAGTTCTCTATTATGATCACCTCTCTCCGCCTGATCAAGTGGCCAACTTATGGGAGCATCATCCCCAAGAGTTGACGACAGTGATCACATTAATAGCAACTGTGCTTTCGGTCACTACAACTACGTGTGTATACCTTTTTACTCTCTCCAGCTTACCACTAATAGAGATGGATATTCCCTCAGTCTTTTCACGATCTCAATCAAGGAGGCATTGAGACATCGGATAACGCAGCCCATCTCTCTCGTTCAGCTAGGCGCCGGTGTTGCTTTGGCCAAGGGCTCCATCATATTGAGACATGAACACTTGCGACTAACCACTATGACGCTGTTCATCTTTGGTGTGCTGAGGCTTTTGACAGCTGGGTAACTCTGCATCATACTATTGCTGTGTCATCGTCTAATTTAAGTGCGTATTAGGTGGATAACTCTCCTGACACCAACCTACTTCCTATGGCCATTTCAGATGCAAGGATCCGAACTTGACATTACTGGTACCGCGTTTTCCAACTTGCTCTATGAAGAATTTCAAAAGGAGGGTGTCAATGCCAGTATGTATCTCCCCATTCCCAGTGTTTCGTCCGTTTCTTCTAAAACGAACAACCCAAGTCCAGGACAATTCTTTCGCGATTCTCGACGTCGGCGGAACGCTAAGCGGAGTCTCTGCTGCAGGCTATACCTTTGGTCTTCCTGGGATATTTAATTTCAATGGCGCAAAATATGACGTGTCTACTCGTAGGTTCAGATTCTCAGCTCACCTGAAGCTGTTTTGTGATGGTGTGTTGTGTACCTAGAGGGGATTGTGCCCACCATCGAGAGCTATTCCGGCTCGCATGGAATTCCGGGTCCCGATGGCACTCGTCTTGGGTTTACTGGTGGAAAGGTCACAGTCGACACAGTATCGCTGCCGGGAAAACACAGCGTGTCTATTCCTCAAGGATTCAGTAGGAACTATTCCATGTGGCAGCAGGGGTTAACAGCCAATGTCAGCTGTCAGCCCATTAGCTCGAGTCAAACGCAGTACGTTTGGGACACGAGCAACTCCTCCGTCATCTATTCCAACCCAGATAATTTGTACAACTCCATCACCGGTCTTCGCCTCTGGAATATAACTGCAAACTGCGGTGCCAGTGAGTTCCGACCGTATATATCTTGCCTCTGATTTACTGTCAGCTTCTAGGTATGCCCACGACGCAGGAATATGTGACCGTGGTGAATGCAAGTGGATATTCAGACCCGTTAGACAGTGGCTTTCTTCCTTGCCTCGTGTGCCCGGGGTCCTTCGGATCTGAATCAAAGTTATACAAGCTTCAGGTGAGCCATTGAACTATGCGTTTGTAGTCATTGACCGATTATTTTCCTATAGCGATTCTTACACAAGGATTTTACAAGTATAGGTTCCTGGACGCAAGTGTATGCGAAGTGATCCCACTGCTAACCACAGTCCGCGCCGATTATTCCAATGGCCTAATTTCTTCCGAGGTCGTTTCATCTACCCCCTTCCGATCAGAGAATGAACAGCTACTATCATTCCTTGCTGGAGCTAGTCGCGTTTCAGTGTACCTACTCGCAGGGGCTTCTGAGCAGTACGATCGGAGATACTCTGTACTCCATCTATTCCTCAACAACTAACACATCTATCAATGACAATACTGGAAATCAGACGCAGGTTTATACAGAGCTGGTGAGTTTCATGTCGCAAGGTCTTTTCCCACCTTAAGTTTACTATGCCTTTCTTAGGAGGAGTATTGGCGTGGCATTGTTGAATTTTCTGCTACGGTGAGGATTCTGATCCCTTGGGTTCAATCTTAATTGACTTAGCATCGCTTGGCAGTTCCTTCGCTCCGGGTTTATGGTTGTGGGTAGCTTCCCCGACGATATTGTCCCAAACAACCTTTCCTCTCTAGTCAATGGGACCATGTACATATCTACGATAGGTTGGACTCGGCGGTCGGCGACATATTTTATTTCTATCCTTCCCTTCACCGTCATCACCATCGTCATGTTTGCCTCCGCGTTGTATAGTTTCTTACAGGCTCGGAAAAGGAACAGCAGCTATAGGACCACCTTCGATCCGTCAAACCCCCTGCACCTCATTATGGCATCCGCCGAGGCAGGGAAGGCATCCACCGTGGCATCTGCTGTCGGCAGTCTGAGACTCCAAGGTTTCGACGACAACGGGATCACAGCCAACGAGCGTGTGAAGGTGCAGCTACAGGACGATGGTGTGGGGAAGAAGTTTGTGACAGTTGATTGAAAGAAGCTCGTATGATTTTAGAGCAGACGCTTGCTGTATTAGAGCTTCGATATTCATGACAGAGCCCGTATTCAGCTGTCGCAATCTATTCCCTGGAATGCGCCTTTCATGATTCGTGTAATCCTTTCAGATGCAGTTGTTACGTGCCGAGATCACATCCAAAGAGTAATTTGATATGTATATGTCGCGAATGTAGCTGCAATGATTGTCGATAGTTCTGAAGGACATCAGGTTTGAAAAGTTGATGATTATTATGATGTAAAAAGTACGGCTTGCTAGTCAATTATAAAGGTCTATCTTAGGGATAAGAAATAACGACGGACTCGATCCCGCCTAGATGATGATATCTATATGATCTATGGTATATGTTCCTCAGAAACAGTAAGCCACTCTCCATTCTATTTCATGTTGATGCGAGAGTCTTCAATGCTTCCTGGATCTTCGCCTCCTCCTGCGCCCATAATGGAATAGGGATCCTATATGTATCTCCAACCCGGGCATATGAGATATCGCCCACACGCCCGACAGGCTTGAACTTTGTGAGGTCGACGGCACCTCTGACTGTGAGCATGTCTTTGCGCACATGGAAGTACATGACGTGCGCGAGGATGAGCGTGCTGTTGTGTTCGCCTGTGACCGGGTGCGTGATGTCTATCGATTTGTAGAGCTGTTGAGAGGCGATGTTGTCAGCGAACGAGCGGGCTCGGCGTGGAATTAAATTACCTCGCATTCCATGCTAAAAGCGCTTTCCTTGACGCGCGAGGCTCTTATTTGCACCTGAACGCATCGTTGTTAGCGCATATATCATTTCATGAAGGTGCATGCGTACGCATTTCTCCTTCGTCAGACCGCTGAGAGTCCACTCGTCGACGTCGGAAGGAGCGTCTACGGCAGCAGCATTGGCATTTTCGATAAACGCCTCGCTGATGATGTTCACGGCGAATCCTTGGCCGTTCTTCAAGTTCCTGGTCGTGTCTTTTAGGTTGCCCGCAGCGTTGCGGTTGATTCCGAATGAGATGACAGGCGGATAGTCCGTGACCTATGGGAAGAGGTTAAACATTAAAGAAACGCGTTGTTTGTTGTATTACTAACTGTATTGAACCAACTGGTGACAGGTAAGCGTGCAGAACGTAATAGATCATGAAAGCGTGTCTTACCTGAACGATGCTAGGTTCTCTACGCCATCCTCGCTGATCGTAGATACAATTGTCATGGGGCGTGGTGCAATGCCTGAATTCAAGAGCTTCCTAATATTGCTGTGGATTGCGGTCACGATCGCGGCTGATAAACAGGTGGAGGAGTACGTACGACTTGTCCATTTCTGCTGTGTTATAGACTTTCCAGCCTGCAGATTCGCCTGCAAGCCAGTCTTTTCCGGCAGGAGTGGCGTCGAGTTTCTGGCCGTACGTCCAGGATGGATTGGGTGATTGGGTGATGGTGGAGTAGGAGGCGGTATCGAATGGAGGGATGTACATGGTTGGTGAATGAGCTGGATGAAGACAGCAAGACAGACCCTGTATTTATAGTTACATAGTCGTGAATATCGAGGCCAGTCTTCGCGCATGAGGCCTGAGGTCGAAGCGCTGAGAACGGATGATGATGACTGTTTGACTTACGAAACTATCATAAGGACGCAAGTTGTGGATCGGACTCGCAGATCATGGATGAACGCATAATGGTAAACAGGACCTTGTCGCGTCCGTGATCGGATCAGTGTCACCTACTGAGATTTACAAGTGGATCAACTATGCACCTATAATTCCCATCACCTAGGTGATAGACCGGTCGGCAGACTCGGCACCACCAACACGGTTAACTAGGTTCAGTACTCTGCTTGGGACAGTAAGCACGTGACAGCTCGGCAACATCTGCCGTATGTAAAGTCAGGCTGCGCCGTGCCCGACGACGTCGGACGAGGCTCCAGTCCGTTCTCACTCATTTCTCAACCATTTGAAAGGACCAACTGTCGATTAGATGCGGTGAGATACATTCCGGCAGCTGTGGAGACAAGAGTCGGATGCATGTATGCAGTTAGGCGCTGGAGGGTAGGTATACTGTCGAGGACGACGGTATGACGATAGAGTGCATTCTTATCATAACGGTGATGGAATTGAACAGCCTCCACGGTGTCCTGTGCGTCTATTAAAATAAGGCAGGCATCATAAAACGCACAATGCCGCCACCTCTGCAGAAAGATACCCTCTAGTCACTCCAAAGTCCAACTCGACCGCGCCCAACGCCATCAACCTCGGGTAAAATGTCGAAGCTCATGAAATCACTACACCCCTGCGAAAGTAAAGGTCGTGGAGATGGCATAAGGGCAGTCGCAATGTTCCCCGATAGACGACGGATGGTTACGGGATCGTGCTTCGTCTGTGGGACTCGAGGACAGGAGTTGTCTTGAAGAAAATGGAAAGGCATCACAGTGAGGTGTGGGGATTGGCAGTTACCAGTATCACGAGATGGCAAGCGGTGATTCTAACGGAGAGGTCATTGTCTGGCACGGAAAAACTGGCGAGTCACTCACCCAAATCATTAAAGCCCACTCCGATTGGATCTCCTCGCTTGATTTTTCTCCTAGTGGAATACACGTGCTGGCCACTGGTTCATGTAACGCTGTGAAACACCAAAACCTGTTTAATTTGAGCCATTGTTGACGCCGTCAAGACTCAGTACTTTGACTGCCAAGGGTGAGATTTCCGACTCATTTTTACAGATTTGACCTCACTATAGGGCTAGCTAAAGTGGCAACACCCTAATTTTACTGGCCAGCGATATTAATCGTGCAAGCGGCAGTGTAGACCGATCGATCAACACAACCTGTTACTATCTAAGGCGAAACAGTTGTCATCTACGGCAAAAAAGAAAGGGGCGACGAAATTCGCAAAAACGTATAAGACCCACACCATGTTAACGGTAGCACTCCCAAATACTCAGCCAACTTTAAGCTGTCGAAATTTTTGGACAACACACAGTGATTGTGCAACCCGCGTCACCTACTCTTGTTCCCAATGATCTCCAAATTCAACCTCAACTGCTTAGTCTTAGGCGACCACCCCAGGAACATATTCCCGGTCAGGATTAGATCGACGAAGATTGTTGGTAACTTGAAAGATTTGATCAAGGAAAAGAATAAGCATAAATTCGATGCTGCTGATGCTAAGGATCTCGAGCTATGGAAGGTGAGTGATCTGACAAAGTAATACCTACAACCAGATGCCGATGATCTGATAATTTGGAAGGTCGACCTACCTGTTGACGACACTTTGAAGCGTAATCTCAACGAGCTCCAATTAGATCACAAGAAATCATTATCGCCCGTGGATGGAATGCTCAAGGTTTTTGACAGTCCTCCGCAGGCTATGCACCTGCATATTCTTGTCCAGCCGCCACTACCTGCTGGTGAGTTGTCTGCAGATATCGCCTCTCTTTCATCCATACTGATTGCGGTGTGATCAAGGTGTTCCTCACCAGGCCGGCCACTTGTTGATCAACCTCAACTGCTTATTCTTAGGTGATCACCCCTGGAACATATTCCCGGTCAAGATTGCATCGACGGAGCTCGTTGGTGACCTGAAAGATTTGATCAAGGACAAGAATAAGGGTGAATTCGATGCTGTTGATGCTAAGGCTGTCGAGTTATGGAAGGTGAGTGATCTGATACAGCGATACCTACAATCAGATGCTGACGATCTAATAATTTGGAAGGTCGACCTACCTGTCGACGACACTTTCAAGCATAATCTCAAGATTTTCAACGAGCTCGAACGAAGTCACAAGAAATCATTATCACCTGTGGATGGAATGTTCGAGGTTTTTGACAGTCCTCCTCAACATAAGCACCTGCATATTATCGTTGTATGATCGGCTAATACAAAGTTACTGGTCCATGAACTCGAAAGTTCGGACTTGTCTCTAGTACCCTCATCACGATGCGCTCGCTACAAAACTTCAGTCTCTTCATTAAAGAGGCTATATTCATGGAGACATCTGAGACACAAATATTATGGTAAAAAAGGACTGCAGCCCTGGATGAGTCATGTTGGTGGATTTCAACTGGTCCGGAACAATAGGTGAAACCAGATACCCACTGAACGTATATCGAGAACGTCTCTAAAGACCTGATGCGGAAGATGCACAGTTCATCCTGGCCGAACATAATATTCAGATGTTGCACGCCATATTTCCAAAAGGCACCTTTGTTTGAGATTGAGTAACTAGTACGGTTGACTATGTGTATTAGGGCCGTAGAATACCGCTTTTCTGACCAAAGTTAATCCGAATGTGTGTTGAAAAATCGAGTGACTCAATAAGTTTACCTGCAATTAGCATATTCCAAGGGGAAAGGGACTCGGGGACTGGTGCGCAAGCACCGAAATAGCCCCGTGGCGGCAAAAGTTCAGGCCTATGTGCTTACTAATGCCTGCCCTTATGTCATTGTTTGGCTGCTTCGTCTTAGTGGTGTGGACCGGTCTATCACCTCTTATCAGTAGAGTTACGTGGGAGCACCTGATCCATTTGTAAGTTCTGACATATCTAGCACTGTAATGCGATCACGGACTCGACACGGTTCTATGCGTTCATCCATCATCTGCGAGCGCCCAGTCTATGTATCGTCCGATCGTCCTTATGAGATAGCATTGTAAGCCAAGCAGTCAGCATCATCCGTTATCAGCGCTTCCACCTCATATGCGTGAAGACTGGCCTCGATATTGGCGACCATGTAACTATAAATACAGGGTCAGTCTCGCTGTCTTCATCCAGCTAATCCACCAACAATGTACATCGCTCCATTCGATACCACCTCCTACTCCACCACCACCCAATCACCCAATCCATCCTGGACGTATGGCCAGAAAGTCGACGCCACTCCTGCTGGAAAAGACTGGCTTGCAGGCGAATCTGCAGGGTGGAAAGTCTACAGCACAGCGGAAATGGACAAGAGGTACGTACTCCTCCACCTATTTATCAGTCGCGATCGTGACCGTGATCGACAGCAATCTCAACAAGCTCTTGAATTCAGGCGTTCTACCACGTCCCATGTCACTCGTATCCACGATCAGCGAGGATGGCGTAGAGAACCTGGCACCCTTCAGGTAAGACACGCTTTCATGATCTATTGCGTTCTGCACGCTTACCTGTCACCAGTTGGTTCAATACAGTTAGTAATACAAGAAACAACGCGTCTCTCTGATGGTCTAATAACCTCTTTCCATAGGTCACGAACTACCCGCCTGTCATCTCATTCGCGATCAACCACAATGCTACAGGCAGCCTAAAAGACACGACCGCGAACCTGAAGAATGGCCAAGGATTCGCGGTGAACATCATCAGCGAGGCATTCGTCGAGAATGCAAATGCGAGTGGCGTAGACGCCTCTCCCGAGTTCGACGAGTGGGCTCTCAGCGGTCTGACAAAGGAGAAATGCGTACGCGTGCACCTTCATCATTCGATATATCGACTAACAATGACGCGTTTAGGTGCAAATCAGAGCCTCCCGCGTCAAGGAGAGCGCTTTTAGCATGGAATGCGAGGTAATTCCATTTTACGCCGAGCCTCCCCGCTCGCTCGCTGACAATGTCGGCTCCCAACAGCTCTACAAATCGATAGATATCACTCACCCAGTCACAGGCGAACACAACAGCACGCTCATCCTCGCGCACGTCAAGTACTTCCACGTGCGCAAAGACATGCTCACGAGCAGAGGTGCCGTCGACCTCACGAAGTTCAAGCCTGTCGCGCGTGTGGGCGACATCTCATATGCCCGAGTTGGAGATACATACAAGATCCCTGTTCCATCATGGGCGCAGGAGGAGGGGAAATTTCAGGAAGCATTGAAGACTCTCGCGTCACCATAAAATAGAACGAGGGCGGCTTACCATTTCTGGGGAACATATACCATAGATCATATAGATATCCGAGTCAGCATCCAGGCGGGATAGAGTCCGTCGCTATTTCTTATATCTAAGATAGACCTTCATAATTGGCAAGCCGTACTTTTTACATTATAATGATCATGAATTTTCGAACCGGCATCCTTTACAACCATTAGGATCAACCACAACCACTGAACCCGCGGACGCCGGGTAGTTACATGCGTCAAATGCCAAATTGCTCCTTGAATGCAATCTCATTATTGCATCCATTGCAAGATTATACAGCGCTCTGACTGGAATCAGCATGAATCGTTTATATAGGGCTCCCTTGCAGAGGTAGCGTGTTGTAATATATATCCAGTACCATCAATGAATGGGGAATAGGCATAATACCATGTGCTAGTACCAGTTCGTATATGATCAGTACTCAGGAAACACCAAGTACTGAACACATCTATAGCAACAAATTAAATAATTTACTCAACGTCCCTGGCCTCAGGATACAACTCATGCGCCACCTGATCTGCGATAGCCTCCTCATGGTCAAGAGGCCCGTGAGATTTCCGATGATCTTCACCCAGCCCCACCTCGATTTCTTTTTCCAGGATGCCGGTGACTTCAGGACGCGCCTGACCCTCTGACTCACCGGTAGCACTCATGCCGCCCGCTTGCAATTTGACCTCCTCTTTTTTCTCTTCGGGTGCTGCACTGGTCGGTTCAAATGTCACCGCGCTAATCTCCTTCTTATCCACATTGTTAACCGGCACATCTTGTGATACCCTCATCTGGCTCTTGATTTCCTTCTGTTCGTCCTTCGCAAATACATCCCGCCCGGGCTCCGGCACACCAATAGGGACGGCGGTGTTCTGCTCGTTTTCAGGCGGCACAACCCCATCTTGCCCGAGCTTGTCCTCGACCACAATAGCCGCGCGCCCGCCGGGCTCTCCGCCAATGGTTGCCATCGGTGTGGACCGGTTCAAAGTAGGAACAGTGACACCTGAATACTGAGAGTACTGTTCGGCGTTTAGCTAAAGTGCTCCTTGAATTACAAAAGACTCACATCTTCGAAAAACTCATTACTAACAAATGCTCGTCAAAACACAAACTCCTGATACAACATCCAAGACTCACCAGGCAAAGTCCCACGTCTTCACCCACTGTGCGTTGGAGCACTTCTGTTTTGTCCAGGGATTGCCATACGCCAAGGAACTAAACTTTGAGTACGTAATGACCGCTATAATCATGAGGACGGCAGCAACCTGTAAACGAATCTTTGGTCGTAGAGTCGATGTGGCGAGGTCGAAAACAGCGCAATTAAGCAAAATTGCAAAGTACAGTGCAGGAAAGTAGTGGTGAAGGAAGAGTTGACGGCCCATGAGGAAGAAGGGGAAGTAATGCATGCAGTACCCGACAAAGAGAAAACCGCAGAGGGAATCATACTTGACAACCTTGGCTAAAAACAGGTCACCCGGATCAGAATGACACGAAACCGAACTGCACTAATCCTCACTGTTGTCAAAATCACGGTATCCTCTCTTCGCGCGAAGTAGGAGGAAGCCTCTGACGATCATGTATGTGATGACTGAAGCTGTGCTCAACCACCAAACAAATGGATTACCGATTAGGTAGATCTGGCGATGATCCTTGACCCAGAAATTCTGGTATACAACTAATCAGATATGAATCACAATCACAGTCGTACAACTCACAATACCACGGCGAAGACTAGGCCAGGTCAAAGGTCTAGAGTCATACACGTGACGGTCGGTCAATCCAGCATTCGTTGTCCACATGACCTGCTGCAGCTCCCAGAATTTGGACAAGAATCCGGGAATCTTGTAATTGACCTTTGGAGCGTCAGCCGATACTATGAAAAGGTGGTTCTGAGAATACGCCCGATTACAAGATACAGAGACCTTACATTGTGGATGCTTTGTAGCAGTCTCGACGTACCATAGCGAGTTGTCCTTGACAGCGTTCTTGTTGCATGTGACCTCCTGCTGATCGAAGCCCCATTCAGGGAGTTTTACATTGTGCGAGAAGAGGTAGCAGCCTGTATTCAAGTGCCTGAGCTTGAAATGCGTTCTTAACGTCCTCAAGCGCTTGCCCGACTCCTTATCACTACTGTCGCCCTTTTCAATCTCAACAACCCAGTCATCGTTGATGTCGCCGATAAAGCCAGGCATGCCGTACGCTGAAACCTCGTTCTGGAAGTCGACATCTGAGATAGGCGGGCGGACTTCGTGCGAATGAAGCCCCCTGTCGGTCACGAGATGCCTTAGCTTGATGTGGGAGCCGTGGTCAATATACACAATAGGTTTGTGTTCGTAGTCGTACTGTTCATAATTATCGACTGTTGCGTTGAGTACTCGCCAGAGATTATTATCATCCCTATGCGGGTAGAGTGTGATTTGTTGCTCTGTCCAGCTATTCGATGAGAGATGAGATAAAACGAAGGCCATACGTACGTCCACTTCCTCCAGGGTAGTTGTGAGCATGGGAGTGCAGATAACCGCCTTGTGTGTTCAGATGTCGGATTGTGATATCTGAACCAAGGGCAACATCTATGATAACATGAAATGAGCAGATTCATGTGCACAGCCGCAATATACGGACCTGCATACGTGTCCTCCATCCCCCGCCCCAGTGTCTGCCTAAATTCTGAGCTCATAAACGCGTCACCCTCTCCTGAGCTTCCAAGAATAAGGAAATGCAGCTGGAACATGGTCATGTAGAAAAGGATGGGTATCAAGATGAGACAAACAGCCCGCGCGAAGAAATGCCTCGTCCACATCCTTGGACTGACACGAAGATCGCCCAAGAGAAGCCACAGTTGCAACACCGTGCACACACCAACGGTTGCAATTGTGAAAAGACCGACCCATTTGCAGGATACGACAGCGCCCAGGGACAACCCAGTCAAAGCAAGCCATGTCCACCACTGGTTGGTAAATGGCTCTTTCTTGTCTTCATTCGAAAACCCGACAAAAAAGAAGACGGTGAGGGCCGTGAAAAATACGAGGGGAGAATCTAGTAGGATATGGCGAGATTGTGTGACCAATCCGTTCTCGAATGTCAGAAATATTGATGCTAGTAGTGCAGTGGTTGCGCGACAATCAAGAGCTCGTAAAGTGAGATATGCGATTGGGATAGTTGCGACTCCGAACGTAGCGGGTACCATTCGCATGGCCACGTATGGTGCATTTTCAAATACCCTAGTCAATGCATGCTCAACAATAGAAAAATGCCGTTTGAGACATACTCACTTCCCAATCTCCTTGAAGTCAAAATCCCCGTTGAAACCAGATATGAAGGCCGCCGCAGTGATCAACAACTTTGCAAGTGGAGGGTGCACATCGACGAAATAGCGCGTTTTGATATAGCGCGCTGCAAATTTACCAAAGTGCACCTCGTCGAAACTGACGGATACGTCAGATGAGTAGAGTGAATATCTGGTACACTCACACCACACTATCCGGTTTCGATATTCGGAACATCCTAACGCCAATTGCAATCAGAAGGACAACTGCCAGCAGTTTCCATTCCCCAGATGTGATGGTGAGACCACCTGGTGAATGACTTCTTCGCCCAGGTCCATACCCCTTGGAAGCTGCTTCACGTCGTTCATCTGCGCTCAAGTGGTCTTGTCGTATTGGCGGATATTTATGAGACGAAGGAGCCACATGTGGAAGACCGGGTGGTGGAGTAGCTGGACGCCGCACTCTGACATTTGCGGCCATGGCATAAAGAACAAACACAAACAGAGATAATGTAAAGGGAGTACTAGACAGTGAATAATAGCTTTGGTAGCGAGTGACGCATTCAGGCAGTATTCACGGTTTGTACTTGTTGAATTTACAAGGCTTCAATAAACAGATGTAAACAATCTCGCAGCCTCCACGAAAATGCTTTTATGAACTAAACTATAGTGAAGTGAGTATGAGTAGGAATCAGCAAATATTGTGATTATTAATAATAGTAGGTAAGATATGTGATTAACTTATTCAGATTCCTCGTCCTCAGATTCCTCATCCTCGGATTGCTCGGGTTCAGATGCTTCCTCTTCGCTCTCTGACTCTTCGGAGTCCTCGCTTTCTTCTTGACGAGGAACAACAAGAACCGAAGTCCCTCCGTCTTTCGTGACACGAGCACGTGTCTTCATGATAATGTAACGTCTTCCAAATTGGCTCATCTTCAAGACAGTTGGGGTATCACCTTCAGGACCGGGAATATCTTCATACTGGGGGAACACGCCAAGCCCCGATGGCGCAAGAACAATCGCCTCACCAGTCTGGACGTTTGCGATACATTAGCAAAGCCTCCTGTTCAAACATCTGACGTACCTGGAGCTTAACAACCGTGTCAAATGCTGCATCTACAGACACGTCAGCAGAGATGTGCCGTGCGAGGTGGTCCCACCATGCCGGAGAAGAAAATCGATGCATAATAGCGACAGTACACAAGTCTAACAAGACAGGTGGCACCACAGTTGGCTCTGTGTTTTTGTATAAGCACTGCCCCCCGTCCGAACGAGAGCTGGAGTTACCTTGGGTAGAAATGATGACACGCATCCCTAAATGCCTCTGCTCTCTCGTGAGGGTCAGAATGGCCTTGGTTAGCCCTGAAACACCTCTGTTTGTGGACAAGTACTATAGTACGTTAGAACGGCACAACTTTAAAGAGATATCGAGCGAAATACCTTGTGGGCCTCATCGACAACAAGCACTTTTCCAGTTTGAACCTCAGCCCTCACGAATAGCCTCGTGACGATCTCGAACAAACCGCACGCAGAGCCTGTGTCAATGAATGGATCCGATAAATCAACAATGGTCAACTGTCCCGCAGCGAAACGACGCGGGGTCGATTTGGGAGCAAGAGCATTTGATCTGGGTCCACTGATATTGGCGTACGTCTTTGAACCAAAAGTGGTTGGCTGTGGACCATTGGACACCATGAACGAATTCAGGAGGGCTAAACGCTGCTCAAGACCGGCAACCTGCGCAGGGTTGAACGATTTTTTCTCTTCGTCAAGTCGGTCCATGAATCGTTTGTATGAGAATGACTCTCCCAAATCTCGGAGAATGCTCTGGCAAGAAGCGTTCAGACTACAACACACCCTGGATGGACTGTCATTTATGACTCACCAAAACGATCTGGATGTAGAGTGGCGCGGAATCTGACGACCCGACAGCCATCATAGATAGAAAAGCTTGTGCATCTAACTCTGTTTCATTGAATAATAAGGGAACCACTTCAACATTCTTTCCGAGAGGGGCGTAAACGCTCTTCATAGTATTGAGAGAAGACTTCGACACGAAGACTCGCACTTTCGGCGTTCTTACACCCTCCGTTGACGGAACACCGACCCATGCAGCCTCGCTCGGAAGAGAACCGACACCACCTTCCCCAAAGTGGAGGACGAGTCCTGCTAGAGACTGCTGCAGGGAACCTATTTCCTGGAGTTTTGGAATGAGCATGTTTTCGAGGAGGACCGAAACTGTATGTGATTTTCCCGAGCCTTGTACTCCGCACACTACAGCGGTGAATGGCGTATTCTGGAGAGCTCATGAGATACACAGGCGAAATGTTCGGAAAGACTCACCGTGTTGACATAGAGTCTAGGATCTACAGGGACGTAGGCACTTGATTTAGAACTTGGTACCGAACATGAATACTAGGGACACAGAAAGAGAGAAACAACCTACTATATTGACAATACTTGGCCCATCACTCCATATTGTGTGGAATGTTTCTTGTATCCAGCAGTGATATACGCTTCTCTTGTAATGAGAGGCGCGGTTTGTAGTTCGTGGTCCTTACTGAGGTCTGACGCGTCTACTGTCAAACTCCGGAGATGCTTCAACTCCACCTGCATCGATGAGAAGCAGAAAGCCGAGAGGTATAGGAAGAACAAACTTTGGCAGCTTTCACTTTGTCAAGGTCATAAATGGGCTCGTTGATTGCTTCCGTGGGCTCTACTTGAGGTTCAATGTTATCGTCCTTTGCCTGTCAAGATATTAGGTTGCATGAATTCTCAAGGTTCAACCTGTATATACCACAGGGGGCGCCTCAGTGTTGGCCGACTTCTCTGCTTTTGGTGAGAGGGTCGTTCCGGAGCTCAACCTATCAGTCCTCGAAGAAAGCTAAGAAATTTAAAGCATCAGTAAAAAATTAATTTTCACAATAGTGCAGTTCGTTACATTAGTCCTGAACGTAAACGGAACTGGTTTTGTCGATGTTGAAGTCTTGCGAATGGTTGAGGCCACACCAGATGCAAGCGGAGGTTGCTTGGAAGGCTGATGGACAGCAGGTTTCCGCGATGTTACCTTGCCTGCCTTGTTCTTGGTGACTGTTGCACTCGGAGGCGGGGCCGATCCAGAACGCCCGCCAGAAAACTGCAAGACCTGTTGGCGGAGCTACATTCAAATGAGTCTCAACCAGCACGCACCACGAACTAAAATCAAAACTGAGTGAGCAAGATAGAACTTTTGTGATAAAGCTATCAAAAAAATTACACTGACCATCGGACTAGCAAGCGTCGAAAAATCCTCAAGACAAAGAGGAAATTTTGGAACAGGGTCGAGGTTAGCCGAATGCAAAGACGCGTTTATATATATCGAATTAGGACACCGCGACCCGATCACGTGCTTATTAATTTCCTGAGGTTGGCCGAGAAGGGGAAAAATTGGTCATGGCAAGGGGGGGCTCGCCGCAGGCGAGCCGAAAAGATTCCAAGGGTTCGCAGGGGGTCCGACTTCCGAAGCCGGAAAACGATCCCAGGGGTCCTGCGTCCTATGAGAATGATCGTCCTCGGTTAACTCAGGGAGTCAGTTTCAACATTTCGACGGAGAGCAGCCATCGGCCCGGTCCTATTATTCTAAAGGCCATATCTCCAAGGCGAGAACTCTGAAATCGGTTTATCTTTTGTATTTGCGGTACATACTGACATATTGAATAGTTACATTGATAGCTTTACAAATGTCCCACAACATTTCGACGGAGAGCAGCCATCGGCCCAGTCCTATTATTCTAAAGGCCATATCTCCAAGGTGAGAACTCTGAAATCGGTTTATCTTTTGTATTTGCGGTACATACTGACATTGAATAGTTACATGATAGCTTTACAAATGCCGCTTACTCGCTACTCGCCAATTCAATCGTTTGGGTTCCATCTTGGCCTTGGCCTTCTCTGGCCTCTCGTACAAGTCCTCCGAGTCTGAATCTTCTTCCTCTTTGGGTTCCATCTCGGCCTTGGCCTTCTCTGGCCTCTCGTACAAGTCCTCCAAGTCTGAATCTTCTTGCAGCCTCTGATTCCTCAGTTGTTGGATCTCGACTTTAGCTGACTCCATGGCAGCAATGCGCATGGCCCTCACCACCTTCTGCGTGTCTTTGTAGCTACTCACATTTTTGTAGATGTCTTGAATAATGGTGGGCTGAAAGCCCGAGCGGGTCGCAAAGGAGTTGATCTGGTCGTCGAATCCGACTTGCACAAAGCGCACAATGTCTGCGGGATGAATCTGGATGTCTGGCCGAACTCTGACAGTGTCATAGCTGCTGGTGAACACATCAAGCACTTTCTCTGTGTTTGTATGTGTGCTAGTATGTGTGTTAGCTCTCCCTGCAGTAGACTTGCAGGAGGGAATATGGATGTGCAGGGCCATTGAGTATTGAACTACTGTGTAACTAGTAATTAGTATTTCCCTGAATTTACGTGATCGGTGTGCACTCCAATAATGATGTGGTGAATTTGGAATTTCAACCCACCAATCAGAAGTTCAAACAATATTCGTTCAACGGCAGTAGCTTGCGTGCAGAAAATATATGTATAGCAGGGATCACGTCAAGACGCTATAGCGTGGTAGTTGTCAAAGGTCAAAGAGGACTCAGAACCCCCTAAAACACGTCTGTGGCTCCACCTCTACCAGTACTACACATGTCAGAACTTGAGCCTAAAGTAGTCCTCAACCTCCTCAAAAACTTGGTGGCCGTCTCGCCTATTGATAAAAATGCCTTTGAGAAAAGCTGGACTGTAAACGTAAGTTTTTCTTTTGGCCGTCAGAGACGTCGTCATTGACTCGTCGAATGATGGATTAAACACAGGTTGAAAAACGAGTCAGCATATGGAAAGAGTCCCATAACCATAAGAACCACCCACGTCCAGAGTTTCAGTTGAGGTGGGAGGCCGAGGTCGTCGAATACGTGCAGTGCCTATGGGAGAAGAGTCGACCTCGAAAATTGAGCCTACACATAAGTTAGGCCTCAATATCCCATTGCTCGGGCCTCAATTCGTGCCCCCGTCTTACATACATATTCAAAAGCGCTCGGGACTCGGACATCAAGACATCGAGCCAGTAACACAGTACATCAAACCCTTCAATGTCATTCACCCATTCTACTACCCACAGCTTGCCACCTGTCCTCAATGCGGCTCTGACAAGGAGACCACCTGGGAAGGGTGGACAAGCACGGGGCCGCGCAAACTCCACGGTCTTATCTGCAAAGAGACAGCACTTGGCACCCAACTCCGATGCAATACATGCAAGGAATCAACAAAGATGAAGAAGGCAACCGACAAGAACATACCTGGAGATGTTGAAGATGTCCAAGCGCATCAACCAGCCAACTTGGAGGGCTACTGTTTTGCAATGACGAGCGCTGCATACTGGAGTTCATGGGAGCACTGGCAGATTCCTCGTGAGTTTCGTGCATTAGATGCCTGGAGCATCCACTCACCAAACGAACAGGCAACATCCCAATCTTTTTCTATCGCTGTGCCCTAATGCGTGATCTCTTCGATTTGCTGGTGGAGATGCGCCCGTCAACAACCTCTGCAGGGCTGGAAGAAAGAGTCAGATGTGAGTGCATGCAGTCTTTCTTTTTAGAAAGACACTCTTACCATATTCGGCGTGCCACAAAGAGCTCCACCTGTTGGAACACAAGCGGCGAATGCTTGAATACCTTGAAGTATTTCAGATACAGCCCACCTGCAATGCAAATAGCAGACTTACTGACTATTTCTCTGGTAGTAAGAGCGCTGTGAAGACACTCCAGGCATTCTCGAGCGCCAGCGACCCGCTTGCATATGCTGACAAATCGATTTCAGGTGAGATTATCACAGAAGTCTTCCTAGACTTCTGTGCACGCACAAGGCAAAAGGAGAGTGGAGCATACCTGAAGACTTTATCAGGTTAGTTTACAGAAAGACTCGCGTGACCAATGAACCTTTAATTCTCCAACCTGGCAGCCATATGCGGCTCACTTGACAACACGTTCAAAGCAGCAAGTAAGGCCACACTTACCGACAAGGATCGCCAGAAGTCTAGGGAGCTGAAAGGCGGGATATTGAGTGTTTTGAATGAGGACAATCAGATCATTTCATGGGTAAGTTTTGACAATGACTCACCTAAGCTTTTCACTGACATATTCATTCCATATGTAGTGCTTTTGCCAGACGCGCACGAACGCAGAGATAACTGAACTCCTTCAAGGTCTTAAGCACCGCCACGACATTCTAAACGTCCCCCAGCCAAAGATGATGGTCGCCGATAATTGCTGCCAAGTTCGAAATGCAGTGACCTCTGCAATGCTGGAGACGGATTCAAAACTCGATGTTTGGCACTTTAGTGCGAGGTGAATGCCATGCATCTACTTTTACTTAGTTTCTACTTACTCAATGTGCACTTGAAGATACATCGCTGTCATGCTCCAATCGAGCAAAAGTCCTTATCGAGGCACTGTCGCTGCTGACATCACAGGCGCCATTCTCAAGACACATGCCGAGAAAGGTCAGCCTGCGCAATACTGGGACCAAGCAGAGCAGGAATGGAGGCTTATGGTGGCATTCAGCAAATGGGCAGACAAAGGTGTTTGGTCAGCTGCAGCGCAGAAAGTAAGTTTCATTTTTCGCTAAGTACCACTGTAATCGATCGCTACTGACAATAATGACTCAGGTTCACCAAGAACAGTTGAAACATGTCCGCAAAGGGTGCCTTGAGCGCAGCATCCAAGGCATCAGAGCTGATGGGAGTCGCATTGAGGGATCCCACAAAGGGTGGAATTCCCTTCAGCGAGCACAGCCAAGCGGTGTGACGATGCTCACTGCCCTCAGCCATGATTTTGTCCTCCATCGCAATGTGCGAGTGGCTTTCAGCAGGCCCGAACTCATGCCATTCCTCAAGTTCGCCAACGGTTCACATCACCTCCGACTCTGTGACTACATAGCGAGGCTTCACAACACGCTCCAGCAAAAAACTACTGACTCTCAGCTGCAGCTTCTTCCTGAGCTTGGTGACATCAACTCAGGCGAGACTTTTGGGTTAGTTATGTCAGATCATGTAGCGACATTCGGTGGTCTTTTGATGAAGGAGAACATTGAGAAGGGCCTACTTGACTCCTTTGATTCGTCTGTTGACCCCACCACAGGTGAGGAAGTCGACCTTGCATTTCTTGCCAGTCGGAATGTCATCATCAACGAGTGGCAAATTGACCCCGCCCTTCTTACACTCCCAGCTGAAACTTCAAGACCAATGGTAAGTAACAACACTTCCATTCAACCCCCCCATATCTCATTTTTTTTGCGCAGAAACCTCCAGCACCAAAGAGAAAGGCTGTCTGCATCTCGTTGGACTCGGACGATGAAGGGGATGCCAGTGGCGGCACCATCAAAAAACTACGAACCTTAGCATTGCCCAGCACAGAAGTTCCTAGCATGGCCCCAGGTACTGGATGACTCGATGCGTACTTTCCTTCTGTGCAAGACCATCAATGGTGCAGCACACGAAAGCTTCCTCCCGAATTCTCGCAGGATCGCCCAGTGGTTGCCAGCACTGCTATCACACCCGACCAAGAGGTATGTCCCATCACACCTGACCAACG